ATACACATGCTCATATTCATTTTCATCCAAATGTTTATATTCATATGCATAGACTTATTCATACATATGTTCATATTAATCTAAACATTTATATTTATATGCATATTCATATATGCATATTCATATTTACATTTATTTACATACCATATTTACAGACTTATATATATGATCATATACATATTCACAAACATACTAATGGGAGTAGATCTGGAATCTTCTGGAATTGGAAATCATTAGATGGTGGAAACAGAGATTAACTCCTCTGACCAGGTGGAGGATGCATGGTTCTCCACACCTTACCAGGGAGAAGGTCTGTGGATCTGGGCCCTCAGATATGATGAGTAGAGGCACCTACTCCCCACAAGGGGAACTGCTCCCCTCACTTGCTGGAGGATGTGGAGATCTACTTCCAGCACTTAGGAGAGGGCACGGTGATCCGTTACCCAGGTTGAGCAGAAGGCACTGGGGTCCATTTCATCATCTTTAGGTCCATCTGTTGATTTATTTGTACATTCTTCTACAGATATTTTGGGGTTTATATTTTGTATCTGGTGAGTGGAGATTCTCTCTGTTTCATAATCATCATGTGAGTCACTCCTCTTTGCAATGATCTTCCTCATCTTGAACTCCAAGGAATGGAGCCAGCTCTCTATGGATTGAGATGTCTAAAACTGTGAGGACCCAAATAAATCTTTCATCTCCTAAAATTGTTCCTGTTAGGTCTTTTAGTCATAGCAGTGAAACCACTGAGTAAAAGAAATATGTATATGAATATACACATGAATATATATAATCATGCCATAAATATGTATGTAAATATGAATATATCAATATGAGTATGTATATGGATATAAATATAAAGATAAACATAAATAGGTATAAATAGCAATGTGACTTTTTATGTACCCTGAATATTCATGTGAATATGAGTGTGTATATATCAGAATGCATATGTACATGAATATTTAAATGAATATATATGTATATGTATATCCATATGAATGTGGATATATATGTATACATATGGATTACATTTTACATATGAATATATGTGAATATGTGTTTAAGTATATATGAGCATATATAAATACATGAATGTATATATGAATACATATATGAACATATATTTATAAAATTAGATTCGCATGCCTTCTGGTCAGTATGGGAAATGGATCACCACACCCTTTGCTAGATGAGGTGAGTAGAACCCGACACCCTTTTCACCATGATGTGAGAAGGTCACAGTTGGGGAGTAGATCTCCCTATGCTCTCCCCACAGTGGGAGGACTAGAACCATGTCTCCTTTATCTGAGCAGGAAAGTTAATATCTGTACCTGCATCTAATTAGCTGTCATTACAGAACTTTCCAGTTTAACCCCAAAGTACAAAACTCAAGAAGAGCTTTTTTTTCAATATTTATTTTTTAGTTGTACACAATACCTTTATTGCATTTATTTATATTTATGTGGTGCTGAGGATCAAACGCAGGGCCTGGAATGTGCTAGGCAAGTGCCCTACTGCTGAGCCGCTACCCCATCTCTCAAGAAGACTTTTTTATTTGGATATATCTGTGACTACAAGCCTGAATACATGTGTGAATATATATGCAACTATAGCTCTCCATGCCTTCCACTCCTTATGTGGAATGGATCAGCATGCCACTGCTACATGAGAGGAGATCTTCATACACTCTGGCTAGTGATGAGTATAGATCACCTTTGGGGTTGTAAGTCACTGTGTTCTTCACTCTTTGAAGAAAGTATATCTTAATCCCATCTACCTGATGAGGGGATTAGAATGACACATTATCCACATGATCAGGGGAAGTAGTCCCTTTGCCCTCCATCTGATGAGTTCCCATTCCAGAAAAATTCTGTTCAATTCTCAAAGTACAAAACTAGAGAAGACATACAGATATGAGAATATGTACATGGATATATATATTAAATATATATAACTATATAAAAATATATGTGAATATTAACATGGTAAAAATTTGAATGTGAATATGTACATTAACATGTAAATATGAATATATATATATGCATATATATGTATATGTATGTATGAATATATAAACCTGTGTATGCATATGTATGAATATGTACATGAATTTCCATTCCAGAACATTACCTCCTTTCCTATCTCTCTTTCCTTTTCTCTAATTTATGAAACTCCCTTCAATTTTCAACAGATGTTGTCCCCACTCTTCTTTTTCTTTTTTCAATATTTTAAAGTTATTGATGGAACTTTATTTTTATTTATTTGTATGTGGTGCCAAGAATTGAACCCAGTGCCTCATGCATGCCAGGAAAGCATGCTACCCCATCCCCTTTATTTTTCTTTTTTATGTCTAATTTCCACATATGGAACAAGAATATTCAATAATCAGACTTTTAAGGCAATGGACCCCAATTAAAGCCTTGGTTATTTGTAAAGACTCCACCATCATACTAACCTGTGGAAACATTAATGGGCCTTATGTCCTTTCTCAAATGTGAAGACCAAGAGACTCACCTGTGAGAACATTCAGTGATGGGAAAATAGATGGCCGGAGTGACCCAGAATAGGGGTTATAGGAACAATTAGAACTCAAAGGCTAAAGAAACAGCCAACTGTCTTTACACTTTTTCAATACTTGGTTAACAGATTTTGGTCAATGCTCAAACTCAAAAACTCTATAATGCTGTAGGGTAGCACACCAAAACAGGTTTTCCTACCCTCATGTCCCCTCCTGAACCCTGGGAGCACTATCTCTTCTCACTTTAATAAATCTACTCCTTTTTTACTTCTCTTCTGTTACTGTCTGTGAATTTTATTCTTTAAATTTGCAAGACAAGAATCCAAAAGAAAATTGGCAACACCCTCACCATGTGAAAACCCCATCTGCTAAGAAAATCAGGGGACCTAGGTTCATTTCAAAACTCCTGTTTCAACATAAGAGAAAACATTTGAACAATGATCATCTGATTTTGGCTTATTTTGCTTGACGTGATGTTTTCAAATTCCATCCATTTTAGCCTGCAAATGACATAATTGCATTTTCTTTATGCCTGACTATAACTCCATTCTGTACATATACCATATTTTCTTTATCCTTTCATTCACTGATGGACACCTAGGCTGGTTTCATGGATTGGCAATTGTGAATTGTGCTGCTATAAACATGGCTAATTCATATAGCACTACATTTTGATTACTTTATTTCTTTAGGATAAATACCAAGGGGTGGTATAGCTGGGTCACATTGCAATTCAAATTCCTAGTATTTTGGAGAATCTCCATATTAATTTCCAGAGTGGCTGCACTCATTTACAATATCTCTAATTATGTAAAAGTAATCCTTTTTTCTCCATATCCCCTCCAAAAAGGAGAAACAAAATCTAAATGAGAAATACAAGACATGATCAGACCCTTCACAAAGAAGACATAGGAAAATATGCTTAACATCACATTTAATTAAAAAAAGATAGCAGTACCCTTCATTAAAATGGAATTAACCCCCACAAATCCAACACTAATGCTGGTGGGTACACACAGCACAGAGATTTTTACTGATTCTCATTGAGATGCCACATGATACTAATTTTGGGGAATGAAACACTGCAATTGTGATCCTTAACATAGAATTATGATATGGTCCAAAAGTCACACCTTTAAGATTATCCTAACTCTGAAAATTTATGCTCCAACTGTGCATATAATGTTAATAGGAGGTCTACCCATGATGGTGACAAATTGGAAAGAAAGTGGAATGCTATCTGATTTGTCAATCTCTGATTGTTCATGGTAGTCTTTCACATCTCTTATAATATCAGTTGTAATTATTATTTTTTATTATTGTGTCATTCTTAGTCATTCTACCTAAGGATTTGTCAAAATTGTTTACCTTTCTAAAACATGAACTCTGAATTTGGTTGATTTTTTACTGGTGTTTTGCTGTTTCTTTTTTATTCATTTCCTCTCTGGTCCTTGATATATATATATTTGTTGTAGGTGGACACCATACCTGTATTTTATTATTATGTGGTGCTGAGCATCCAACCCAGTGACTCACACATGCCAGGCAAGTGCTCTATCACTGAACCAGAAACCCAGCCTGATTTGTTTCTTTTTTAAATGCCATTTTATAGCTCTGAACTTCTATTACTACTCTTACTACATCCCACAAAGTTTGATATATGTCACCCATCTCATTTTTTTTTCTCAGAAAATTCCCTGAGTCTAGTGATGATTTTGTCCCTGTTTTGGGATTGTACTCAATGCCACCTATCTATTTTCCTAATGTAATTTATTATTAGTCTCATTATTTTGTGACACTTGACATGACTGCAGTATCCTCAACTTTGTCAAAGTTTTGTTTCATGTTGTAACATGTGCTCTTTCCTGAGCTCTGTTCTATGTGTACTCTGTGGTTGTTACTATCTCCTATGGGTTAGGGTGTTCTTTATTTTTCTGCCACGTACACTTGGTTGTTATTTTGGTCTTTGGTTTCTTTGTGGTCACTAACTACATATATAAAAACATACAAGTTGATAAATCTCTACCTATGTAACATTGAAAATATAATAACAACAACCCCCCAAATATTCTTGCTCTACCTTCATTTTATGACTTTTTTCCACTTTTCTCTTGATCTCTTTATTCCCATGTTAGATCTACCTCCCATTTTTTCAAGGGAAGTAGGACCAACTTGTCAAAAGACTAAAAATATTGCCCAAGATGGCATTGCAAGACATACCCCGTGCATTAAAACTTGCTTACAAGAGAGGGTCATCATTATACAAAATACATGTATGAAGATGTGAATTTGGCATCAACATACCTTATATACAAACAGAGATGTGATAAATAGTGGTATAAAAGTATATTAAGAATTGTAAGCAAAAAAATTAAGAGAGCTCATATATAATGGCAAAATTTGGTGTGAACATACTTTATATACAAAGTTACAAAAAATTGTGCTGTGAATGGATAATTATGAATGTAATGCACTCCACTTTAATTTATTAAGAAATAAATTAAAAAGAAAAAAAAAGAAAGTTGCAGTGGCAAAGGCAGGACCAGGAACACTTTTGTCTTTTATAGTATTTTGACAGATAATCTAGAGGTCGCCACCTGGACATGTGGCATTGAACTTCTTGATAGTTTTTACTCAATTTATGTAAATGATATGTCATTGGATAATTAAGCACTTACTGAGCTTGCCCCACAAGGATCTCGAGAACTTTCTCATTTGTTTTTCAGTACCAATGAGGACCAAAGAACTCACCGTGGCATAGCCATTGCCCACCAGCATCTGAACACAGTGATGAATATTGTCACTGTTCCACAACATCCCAGAAGAGGAAGAAATGGCAAAGTCCAAAACGTACATGACCACAAAAAACCCCATGAGCAGAAGAATAGTCCTGGTGGCCCTGTGTTCTGGGGATGCTTTTGGAGACAGGCTGGTGCTATGAAGGTGCTGGCACTGCCTCTTATGCCTGCACAAGAGTGTCACCATGTACCCACTGGAGAGGGCCATGAGCCCTATAAAAGATACATCCCGAAAGGTGACCAGTGAGAAAAATGTGTACCTGAACAAGTAACCAATGGGCTGAAGAGAGCAGGATTTAGTGACAAACATGAGATTGAGTGTGGTGACTTTGGGGGTAGCAATGATGGCAATCAAGAAGCGACCACTGATGAGCATATTAAAGACCCAGAAGAAGAGAAAGCAGCACATGCTCTGAGGTGAGGAGTTTCCTTTGAACTTGGCCAAGCAGGAGTTTCTGGGGCTGAGGGTGACGGCCTGGAGGACACTCAGCAGGCAGGTGGTGCAGATGGAGAGGCCCCTCATCAATCTGTGCAAGGAAATAACTGATTTACATGAGAAGTCATTGCCCAAATCCTGGTACCCAAAAATGTCTGCAGCTATGAAGCCCACAGTCAGCAGCATCACCAGATGAACAAGGGCCAAATGGCTGATGGTCAGGTCGATGGGCTTGAGCCTGTGCTTGAGAAGGAACATGAGGATGTGGAAGAGAAGCAGAGCAGTATTGGCTCCAATCCCAATGCTGACTTCAGAGAAAAGCATGTTTCTAATGTGAGTGAAGTTGGAAGCTTGGCTGTTCTTATTTATCCTCATGGGGGAAGAAGCAGATAGGAATAATCTGAGAGAAAAGGAAGAAAAATCTTTACCATGAATATTATCATCATCATCAATTTCTCCAAATATGGTCATCAGCAAAATGTGTGGGTTTGTCCTGAGGCATTCTTTCCTCCTGCAGAACCCAAGTCCACTGGACACTCTCCTGGATACATGACAACTTTCCCTGCCCCACCAGGACCCAATCATGTCTGGAGGGCATATTCACTGCCCTCCAGTGACTATGCCCCATATCTGCAGCCACATTGCCTTGTTAGATGAGAGGTATTCATTGATTCTTACTTCCTTTTAATTTTGTATTTATTTATTACTTATTTATTTTTATGAATACAGTATCTTTATTTATTTATTTATTTATTGTATGTGGTGCCAACGTTTGAACCCAGTGCCTCATGCATTCGAGACAAGTGCTCAACCACTGAGCCCCAGCCCCTCCTTTTTTATTTTTTCTAACTTAAGAAGAATGCAACTTTCTCTGTATGAACCTGACAAAGTTCTCAGTAGAAAATCACAGTTGTAAATACAGAGTGGAACCTCCATGCCAAGACTGCATAAATGTGGAAATAATATCCTTTCTGGAAATGATAGTCATGCAAACAGGGCTGTCTTTATTCTTATAGGTGGCCAGAATATGGTATATTTTTGTTTCTTTTAAAAAATATTTTTTTTTATTTGTAGTTGGACACAATACCTTTGCTTTATTTGTTTATTTTTATGTGGTGTTGAGAACCAAACCCTTGGCCTCTTACATGCTAGGTGTGCACTCTACTGCTGAGCCACAACCCTAGCCCAGAATATGGTATATTTATAGAGAACAAATGTTGCTGAGGTATCTCTGAAGTCACAAAGTGTAAACTTACACAAATAAGCTGATGCTATTAAATTCATAACTTGAGAGGTTAATTAACACATCTGAACCAGTAATCTGTAAAGTATGAATAATCACAATACTTTCTTCCTGTAGATATTGTGTGTGTAAAGGTATAAAATGTCAAAAATGCCCAGGATAGTAATGCCACCTATCACTGTTATTATTGAATTGACTTTCATACATCTGACTTGAGAGAGCAAATACTGTTTTGAAAATTTTCCATGTCTGACATCACTTCCTAAATCAAGGAAAATGAATACCAAGGTAGCAGATTCCATGATTTCTCAAAGTAAGGACACATGCAATTTAAAGTTCTTAATTGAATCATCAGAGATGACTGTAAGTCTTACATATTTTAGAAACTCAAGACAGAAAAACTTAGTCTTATTAGAATGCAGTTTTCAATTATTATCAGAACAATGTGATAGGTTTCTTTCCACTACATCAGAGGTGTGTGCAATTAGAGTGCTAAAATCAGCCACATTTAAATGGGCTGGGATGATTATTTCCTAAGAATTTAGTTAATGGTTCCACAAGGCAATCAAACCTTTCAAGTCTTCCTCAAGTAAGAAAAGATATTTCTGAATATTTATGGGAACCTAGCATGAATTTTACACTAGTGTGTTAGTGAGCTTTTTTTCTGCTGTGACCAAAAGATATGTCAAGAACAATTTTAGAGAGGAAAAGTTTATTTTTGTGATCGTGGTTTTAGAGGTCTCTGTCCATGGATGGGCAGCCCCATTCCTCAAAGCCTGAGATGAGGCAGGAGATTATAGTGGAAGACTGTGGCAGAGAGAAGTAGCTCACATGATGATCGGGAAGCAAAAGGAGACTCCATTTGCCAGATACAAAAGATACACCCCCAATCATGACCCACTTTCTCCAGCCACAACTTACACTCAGTTTACACTCAACTAATCTCATAAAGGCATTCATTCACTGGTTGGTTTTAGGCTCTCATAACCCAATTATTTCTCCTCTAAATCTTTCTTGCATTGTGTCACACATGAGCTTTTGAAGGACACCTCACACTCAAACCATAACACTACAGAACTTGGGGGTGCCCACCATGTGGAATGCTTTCCTGCACCACAAAGCTATTTAATGTAACTCAAGCCTCAATCGTCCATAAGATGAAGGATAGACTATGGGAAATGGGTTCCTGTCAAGTATTCTCATAGATTTATCATCTGAAATCAAAGCATGAGTCAACACTGTTTTTACAGCCACAGATAGAAGCAGTTCCTCTACTTACTAAAGGAAAGCTTCACTGTTTTAGTTCCATAGATATGGCTGCAAGTAAGACTTCAGGGCTCAGGGGACACTAAGTCCCAACAATTTTTGGAAACTTTGATTTTTAAAATAGATATTATATAATAAGAATTAGAAAAAAATGTTTATTTTCTAACATAATAATTAAGTAAATTTATCTATTTACACATTGAATAAATTAAGCTTTATACCTCTGATGTGCCCAGGAGAAAAAAAAAAACCAACAGTCATGCCATCATCCAGGTGTCTCTGAGTTCTCACTGGCTCTCTTTAAGCACACAACCCTAATGGTTTTCTTGACCTTTCTTTTATGTATAAAAAATACACCCATTTCCTATCTATCTAGTCCATGTAAGTTACAAAATGTACCCTAATAATGTTTCAAAGGAATAACATCAATAAATAAGAAAAACTTTTCACATCATATTCTAAAAGAATGATATAAGATAAAACCTGCTGCCAACTTAAATTCTTAAGTTATTCCTGTGAAATTCAAGCTTAACTTGAAAGCTCTTTTGAAAACTTGAGTCTTAACAATACATAACCTTATAAGACTGGTGAGGTAGTCTGTTTGCAATATCTGTAATCTGAGGATATAGGACATATTAAGATTTACTGAGGGACTGGAGTCCTACAATCATAAATGGATGAGCAGAGACAGCAAATTTCCTTGAGGCAGAAAAGCTGATTGCCTTTCACCATACTATGAATCCAGGAAATTGACCCCATCAGGTGCACCCACGAGCAACCCCTGATGTTAGCTTGTACGGAGCCTCCAAAGAGATCATGCAAACTATCAGCAAGCATCAGTTCTCTCCAAATTTTATACACCACACCCATGTTAGTGAAACTCATGCTCCAGATACCATTGTTATATCTGTACATAATCATTATAAAGAAAGGTAGATAGATATTCTGAACATTGTACTAGACAATGTTTTTTATTTTTGTAGAATATCAATATGTCATGACAACAGCTAAAAGAAATCTGCCATGTCTTTTTTTATCCATGTCTCAACCCACTCACACTGGGGGAGACAACACAGTTCAGAGGATCAGGGGACAGGGCAGATGCTCTCCACACAGAGCAGGATAATATGGGAACTTCCATAAAAGACAATGCTGAGCTGGAGCTGACTCACCCAACATTCCAAGCACAAGACTTGTAATCTTGCACATGAAGAAATCCAGTTGCCCTCAGATTGACTGGAGGTAGATCAATAAGGGGATAAATCACAGAGAAACTAACATGGAGAAAAGCTCTAAAACACTTCACATTTGTAAGTCTACAATGGAAAAGAAAAAGGAAAGTCCATATGGGCAGTGAGGGGGAAAAAACGGTAAATAGAATAACAAAATTTAGAGTGAACTCGGCACATGAACTCTCTGTAGTCAAGCTTGAGGGACCTTGTAGTTCATGGTAGAAGCTGGGCACCCCTCAGGAGAGAGAGAACTCAGTTCAGATTCTCACTAAAACATGGATCCTGGAAGCATTCACTTCAGACTTTGTTTTATTTTGCAATTACTAAGATCATTTCCAATACTGAGATAAATGCTATCACCAAATGGACCAGAAATAAGTGACCAGAAATAAATGTGTGGTTTCTTGTACCCAAGACAGCACTCAGAATAGAGACTGAGAGTGTAATTGAAGGAGGAAAGTCCTCAGAAAACCCCTTGAAAGTGTGGGTATGTATTGTCATGTGAGTGGACTGATACAGGATAAGGAAGAAAGGATGTATTCTTTTTTTTAATGTCCACAGAGTGAGCATTATCTACATAATTCTCAAAATTAGGGTGATGCACAATTATTTATGTCTAAACCTAGGCAGGTGCCTTATATACATGGAAGAGCCTACCTTGGCTTGTTATCACTATATCATGCTGGTTGACTTCACTGTGATTGCCATTAATATTTTTCTTATCTATAAAGAAATCTAAAAGTGGCAGAAGGCCAGAATGTGAGAATGACCACGCACATTGGAGTGGGTTATGTCTGAAGGTACACTGGTCAACACACTCCAACTTTGGGCAGAAATTGAGCTGGAAAATAACAAAGATAATATGGGAGAAGGAAAAAATCATCACCAACTCGAAAGTCAGTTCTAAGGATGATACAGTCACCAGGAACCCCCACCAAAGAAACCTTTACTATAATTAAGATTTCCAGAGACTCTATCATACTTAATACATGTAAACTTCTCTCCTAGCCAACAAGATCTTTACAAAGAATGCCAGCAGGATTTCTGCAGAGATTACTGTGGGTCAAACAAAGCTTCTTCTTTGTTGTTAAGGCCGAGATTCTCTTTCTTGTAAAAACCTAGGTTTGTTAATTGAGCTTGTTGCTATACAAAAGATGCTATTTTTGTTTTCTTTGACAAAAACTCATGAAACCTCTGATAACTTAAAATATTAAACAGAGAGTTGTTTTTTTTATAAAAATTGCAATTTAACTTTTATTTTAATCAATCAATCAATCAACCAATTAATTAATATGGTTCTGAGGATAAAATCTAGTGAGTTATTTGTGCTAGGCAAATGCTCTAACACTGAGCTATGACCCAAGCTTATGAAAATAACTGTTATGCACCCATCCATCCACTGGCATGTTTCACTGCACTGAGGATAATTCTGTAAAACAATAATTTACAAACCCCAGGTCCAGAGATGTTTTAGCCTTATCTCCTCAGTACCATTGTAGCTTAAATAAATCTGCATACTGAAAATGACTCTGATTTCCAGCCTCATTTTTCCTACAGAAAGGACACAGCAATTGAGAAATGCATGAAGTCAGGGAGAATGAACTAGAAAAATCTGACTATGTGAACGTAAGAAAGGCATTAATTTGC